AAATTGTACATTCCGAAATAACAATCATATTATGTCAATTGCCACCGGAATATCTGGTAATATTTTTCTTTTTCTTTGCCTTAATCCCAACTACTTGGGGTCGGGCACCCTTATCCTAAGATTCCACTTGACACGATCTCCCATATCTTCTACGCTCACATCAGCTGTCCTCAAATCGCATTCAATAGCATCCCTCCATCTCTTTTTTGGTCTTCCTCTATCTCTTCTTCCTTCAACATTCATTTCTATAACTGTTCTTACAGCTTTCGATTCTTCTTTCCTCATACCATGACTAAACAATCTAAGTCTATTTTCTGTCATCTTATCCACGATTGACGCAACACCTATACTTCCTCTTATATGCTCGTTCCTTATCCTATCTTCTCTAGTCACTCCACTCATCCAACTAAGCATTCTCATCTCTGCTACACTTATTCTCTGCTCTACTTTCTTATCAACCGCCCAACACTATTAACCATACATCATAGCTGGCCTCACAATTTCATACTAAATTTAAAAACTATAATTAGTATTTATTCATATATTATATTTTAAAATCAAAGAACTACTAATCAGGATATAATTAAAGAAATAAGAGTTCATGTTGCTTTTAAAATATTTCACCAATTTCTCTAAAGGAAACACTATCTACAGATTTGCATCGAAGCGTTTCTTATGATAGTGATTTTAATCACTGTCAGATATCATCTATACTTATCTCATCTATGCCACGTCTATACTGTGCCTCGACCCCACTGTGCTACCGTTTTTTATTATATTATTACACGTATTAGATATTTTTTAAGCTTATTATTAATATTTAAATTTTGTTTCAATGTTTTGATGACTTTTTATCTTCTTACAAACTATATTTTTATTAAGTAAAATAAAACTATATTAAAAATATTATTAATTTAAAAAACTAAAAAATATTAAACTCAAAGCCACAAAAAATTAATGAAAAGTCGCGCATACGTATTTTGGAAACAATGTTACCATTATCAACGCTAAACACATACTGACACACCGACTAGAAAAAACTCCCTTATATACCCCTAGTGACCTTATCACCTAGTGACGTTATCACTAAGTAATATTATCACAGTTTGCCAGTTTACACAAGTTTAAAAATGAATTCAGTGGGTCAAGATCCCAAATTAATTAAATTGTTTTTATTTTTAAACATTTCTATTGCCTCCTTAATATTAAGTTTTTAGTAATTATTAATATTTTAATTAGTTTTATGGTTTTAATAGAGTAATTATGTGTCGATAAATATTCAGCCACTGGAGATTTATAAACTTCTTGATTTTTAATATTTCTTAAGTGCTCTTTAAACCTGACCACTATATTTATTTTTGTTTGTTTTACGTAACATTTATTACAACTTTCACATTGTATTTTAGAAATGCCTGATTTCCCCCCTTCATCTACCTTATCTTTAGGGTTACCTAATAAATCTCTTAACTTTTTACTCTTAGATGTTACCAAAGTAATACCAAAATTCTTAAATATTTTAATTAATCCATTTGAGATTCCCAGATAATATAAAATTGGTGATCTAATTACTTTTTGTTTCCCCTCGCTGGTGAGTGTACTAGCTGCACTCCTTTCTTTTTTCCATTTTTGTGTTCGGACTAATTTTGAAATTATGTTTTCGTTATACCCATTAAATTTAGCTATTTCTATTATAACCACCAATTCTTTACCATAATCTATTTTATCTATCGGAATATTAATTAATCTGTAAACCATACTATTTAAAAGCTGACAATTTGTGTTCCCAGGTGTGGTTCGATGTGTTCGGAACAACATTTTATCAAAAATATTAATTATTTTTAAATTTTAAATAAAATGTAAAAAAAAAATCTAAGATAGCTATTTTGTAGAGT